GAACCCAAGCTATTTCAGGCAGCCGGGGTTTGCCATGCCAGGACAGCTCAGGAGCCCCGGCCACCTTCCTGGGGTAACCGGAGATGGAGACGCCTGCGCTCCCGCAGGTTGAGGGCAGGGCTGGCGGCTGAGTCACTGCTGGAGGGGAGCTGAGGGGGTCATCTGCCCCAGAGCAAGAAGGGGAGACCCTCCAGCGTGTCTGCCCCACACCTTTGGCCAGGGGCTAGTGGGCTCCTGAGCTGCCTCTGCCTCGGGGACCCCACACAGGGCGCTGGGTCCCAGCTCACAGGAGCCTTTGCCAGCCCAGCTCAGAGGCCAGCAAGAGTGCAAGGACACTGCCCTTCCAAACCACATCCCTGCCCCTCCTCTGCCAGCGCCCTGGGCTACCCCGAGCTTTCCTGCCCCCCAGCCCCTCGGCAGTGGGTGCTTGACAGCCCTGCTCGGTGGGAGGGGGTGGTCGGAGCCCGCGGGGAGCGCAGAGGTGGGCTCCCAGCCCCCCTCCAGCCCCAGCTCTGGGATTCCTCAGGGCTCTGTCAGACCCCAATAAAGTCGTACAAGTTCTCATGACCCCACGGCCTTACAGCAGTGGTAAACGCGGGCGCCGGGGCTGCCTGGACACAGAGCAGACATTGCCTCTGGTGGGCCCTGGGAAACCTGCTTCTGACCCACGTTGCTGCCTGAGTTAAACCACGGAGAGACAACCCCTGGCTGGGCCGGTCCCAGCCTGCCTGGCTCCAGCCGAGCATCGCAGCGGTGCAGGGAGGCAGGGAATGCAGCCTGAAAGGGAAAGCAGAGCCTGAAAACCTGCTTTCTTGGCTGTAAAGAGCCACCAGAGGAAGCAATCCCCAGGGCTGGGCTGGGAGTGCTCTCAGGGTGTCTGGTTTGATGGGGAGATACTGGTAATAACTGTGCTTAGTGCAGGGTTATGTGTCAAAGACCCCCCAACAAGGGTCTGCAAAGCAGCCCCGGGAAGATGCTGCCTGGCTGGACCTGGGGTGCGGGCAGGCGGCATGTCGCACTGGGGAGGGGGCAGAGGGGGGCGAGGGGCCACTCTTCGGCTGGGAGGGGCCC